ATAGGATGGGCAACAGACGTATTTGACGGAGATGCATCGGTCTTCGCAGAAGTCCCAAAAATGGTGACCAGTGAATGTAGTTCCAAGGTCGGTGATAATGCTGTTCGGGATACCGAATCTATGGATGATATCTTCGAAGAGCTCGACCACCTTCTTTGTAGTAGCCGAAACAAGCGGCTTGTATTCGATCCACTTGGAGAACTTGTCAATGGCGACGTATACATACCGAAAACCGCCTGGCGCAGGCTTGAAAGGCCCGATAATATCAAGTCCCCAGCATGCAAAAGGCCAAGAAGCTAGGATGGTCTGCAGTTCCTGCGCCGGCACGTGTATTTGCTTGGCGAAAAACTAACATCCTTCACAATGTCGGTCGAGGTCTTCTGCGTCGGAGATGGCCGTGGGCCAGTAAAAACCAGCTCGGAAAGCTTTGCCGACCAGGATTCTAGATGTCGCGTGATTGCCACAGGAGCCGGAGTGAATTTCAAGAAGTAACTTCACTCCCTCTTCTTGGGTGATGCACTTCTGCAGTATCCCTTCCTTGGCGCTTTTCCTCATCAACTTCCCGTCTACCAGCACGTAATGTTTGCTGCGACGGATGAGACGTTCAGTTTCGTTCTTGTCAGCGGGTACGTCGGCGCTGGTTAGGTACTTGATAAACTATTCCCTCCAATCTACGGCCGGCGAAGGTACTGCAAGTACCAGCTGCTCGGCGGGTGAAATTTCTTGAACTTCCTTCTCTTCCTTAATAGACGGCGTAAAGAGGTCTTGAACGAAGACCCCAGGTGAAATCGCGGCGCGAGAAGACCCTATCTTAGATAGGTGGTTGGCGAGCTGATTTTGGTCTCGTACCACGTGGTGGTACACGATACCGTAAAACTTTCCTTCGAGTTTCCTGATCTCGGCGCAGTATGCGTCCATCTTCTCATTGGAACAGAACCAATCTTTGTTCACTTGGTTGATGACCAGCGCGGAGTCTCCGCATACCATGAGGCGTTTGACGCCAAGCTCGACGGCTATACGAAGTCCGCGGCGTTGTTGGAAGCTGGAAAATGAATTCGAAGAACGTATCGAAGGTTGTCCTTAGTCGGAGTAATAAACAAAATGTCGGCGCCAGCACCGTTGATGTTGAGGGCGCCGTCGAAATACACTATCCAGTGCTCGGTGCAAGCAGCAGGGATGGGCTCTTGGATCTCGGTCCACTTAGCGACGAAGTCAGCCAGCGCCTACGACTTAATGGTCGGCCTGCTTCTGAATTCTATGGAATAAGTGTCGAGCTCGACTGCCCACTTGATGATGCGGCCATTGGCCTCTTTGTTACAGAGGATGTCCCCTAGAGGGAACTCGGTGACCACGACGATCTTATAGTACTCGAACTAATGGCGGAGCTTGCGCGACGTGACGAATGACGTATAACAGCTTCTGAACCTGAGGATAACGAGTTTTGGACGGCACAAAGTACCCAGGGCAAAGTACCTGAGGGCAAAGTACTTCGAGGAGTTTTGAACAGCTTCTTAATGGCGAAGCTTCGTTAAAAACAACTTGAGCTGCTCGAAGGCCGTATCAGCCTCCTCCGACCAGGAGAAGCGCTCGGAGGCCTTGAGTACTTTGAAGAACGGTAGTCCCTTTTCGCCGAGGCGTGATATAAAGCAGTTGAGAGCAGCCATACACCCTGTGAGCTTCTGTATATCCTTTACGCAGGTCGGTCGTTTTATATTGGTAATGGCGGAGACCTTGTAGGGGTTGGGTTCGATGCCGCGGGCGCTGACGATGTAGCCCAGGAGTATGCCGGATGAAGCTCCAAAGAAGCACTTTGAAGGGTTCAACTTCCATTGGTATCTTTTCAGGTTGACGAACGTTTCTTCGAGGTCGACGATGATACTGTCGGCGATTTTGGATTTGACGACCACATCGTCGATGTAAGCTTCGAAGTTGCGGCCTATCTGTTGGTCAAGGCACATCTGGATGGCCCTTTGGTAGATCGCCCCGACGTTTTTTAGTCCGAAAGACACGGTGGTATAGCAATACGCACCGAAAGACGTGATGAACGATGTTTTGATCTGGTCGTCCTCTTTGAGGGATATCTGGTGATAGCCGGAGTAACAGTCGAGGAAGGAGAGGAGTTCGCAGCCGGCGATGGATTCTACAACCTCGTCTATCCGAGGCAGACCGAAGGGGTCTTTAGGGCAGTGTTTGTTGAGATCAGTGTAATCAACGCACATTCTCCATTCTTTATTCTTTTTTTGAACAAGAACTGGGTTTGCCAGCCACTCAGGATGATACACTTCTTTAATAAATCCGGCTGCTAGGAGCCGTTTTATTTCTACCCTAATAGCCTCTTTCTTGTCTGGCGCGGATCGTCGGAGCTTCTGCTTGATCGACTTGGCGATCGGCGAGACATTCAAGGAGTGCTCGATCTTCTCCGGCATGTCTGCAGGTTTCCAAGCAAACACGTCGATGTTGGCACGCAGGAAGGAGACGAACGCGCTTTCCTATTTGGGGTCGAGATGAGCCCCAATCTTGGCGATCTTGGTGGGGTAGTCGAGGCCGAGGCTGACCTCCTTCGTTTCCTTAGACTTGGCGGAAGGTGGTTGGCGCCGAACCAGAGTGGTCAGAGCCGATTCCGCGAGGGAGAGGCAGTCGGCGAGCTTCTGGCCGACCTGATCGATGGATGCGATCAGATCGTCGTTGCCGACCTGCTTCCTCGAGTAGCGGGGCAGCAGGTGGTGAGTTATTGGTGAAGACGACCTCGGAGGCGGTTCCGAGATCGGATCTGCTGTTGCAGGTGTTGGTGTGGTTGACGCAAAATCGATCTGCACCGGCTTGATGATCTCTCCGTCTCCGTCAGCATTGATGACCCAGGAGATCGATCCGACCGTAAAAATCTAGCCGGGCTTTGGATATGACGAAGAGCCTGAAAAGTGTACCATCTTGTTCGTTATAGAAACAACACGCACACCCCTACCTGGCGCGGCAACTGTCGACAGAATATCGTCGACAGTCCTCCGAGGGGTATCTCACGAAGGTAGATTGATCGACAGATGTGCGCGTAATCAAGAACAAGAAGGCAATAGAGACACAAGAGTTAGATAGGTTCAGACTGTCTACACGATGTAATACCCTACTCCTGTGGTCTGTTGGTTTGTATTGGCTATCGTATGATATTGCGTGCGTTTTGAGGGGGTTCTCTACCCGCCTTATATAGCCGGGGGTAGGGTTACAAGTCGGTTAGATCTATGAGATAACCAGTAAGTAATAACAGATTACAGGAATCACGGGATCGAACATATCCTAACAGATTTCGTAGCATCTTCAGGATATCGCCCTTGATGTCTTGCGGTATATGCCGAGCAGTACCGTGCACCGTAAGTCTTCGTCTTGTGGGCTGGACCACCCCTTATGGCGCAACCCATATAGTCTGTCGTGGTTATCCGGGGTCGTACCCCCCACAGCCAAGGTCAGCAAAACCCAGTGGATATATATAATTATAAAAGCAAGTTCGTTGATAGGACTGATTAATTGCATGAACAGACGGGCATGTGACAAGAAGCTTTTTTGGGAACCCACGAGAAGCATAAGGTGAGACAAAGCATTCATTGGTCATGAGTCATCTTTAGTTAATCTCTGTTATCTGTAGTTAATCTTAGTTATGGTCCTTATCTGAAAATTGTTAATCGTTGGTCATGTGTCAACCTAAGACTATTGTATGTGCATATACTATTATCTGCTATTTTAGTGATGGTTGCTGCTGCTCAGTAGCTCATATGCTTAGCTCTGTTGCTCATATTTCGAATCTGAGACTATCTGTTTTTCCCCTGTCAATATTAGAACATGCTTAGCTCCGCAGCTCATATGGTTAACTGCTATTTCAGTGATGGATGCTGCTGCTGGACTGCTGCCTATAAAGCCAGTAAATTGGTAGAGTGCCCAAGTCAAGTCAGGATGCGAAGCTAGAGAAAATCACCATTGTCATGATTAAGTAGTGAACTGAGAGAGAGGCTATCTGATTTTTTTTCTGAAATAAAAATCTATCTGAATGCTATCTCATATTAATTGCATGACGAAAATAAACAGACTGATTAATTGCATGACGAAACAGAAACCTGGCATGTGACTATAGTTGTTGGGAAGGTTAAAACAATGAGCTTTCTCATATTGTCACATGCAAATGACTAATCTACATATAACATATGCAACTACAGCACTCTCTTAAAAGAAACATCATGCAAAGGCTCCACAAGCATGAAACTAATCCTAAACTACCGATATATTCTGTTTAATGATACCAGCCTGCATACATGATAGCGACATTCAAACCCCTTCTGTTACCATTCGTATGCTGTGTGAGGCTATGAGATAAAATTGATACTGACATTGCAAGGCACATACCATCCACTATGGATTCCAGAATATTTCATGTGCTCCATAGAAATATATTTTGAATCCAAATTCCAAAGTAAATATATATTAAAAATAAGTTCCTAAGTATGGCATTTTCAATCTTAACTGAAACTCTTTTTTGAAGGCAATTTCAAAATACCAAATAATAAATGAACTTAGTTTGATGACAATTCCCAAACAAAATTCATTGTAAATTGAGATCGAGAGTGCCAATTTTCACAAGCACTCTAAATAACCTGAGCTCCTAATTTCACAAATCATGCACAAAACTGTTCACTGTCAAATCTTAAAATGCAATTTCTTAAAATCAAAATCTTTACTTCAAAGTTCGGTCAATGAAGTTTCCCTATTCTTCAGTTGTCTTCTCACTAATATCGTCCCTAGCTGACATGCAGTGCTTGCCAACCAAGCAAGGAGACCAATGGAACACAGAGGGTTCGATTGGATTAGTTCAGAACATGTAGAATTTCAGCCAGATCCATGGGATAAACTACAGATTGCATATCCAAACGGATTATAAAGGGGAAAACATAAGCCTCGCTAAGATGAAAAGAAAATAGGAAAAAGTAACTGTAGTCTAATTTAAGAGAAGGAAGATTCACCTTTACAATTTTGTTTGAGTCTGCAAGTCGCCGTAACTTTGCGGTTAGAAATCTTCTAAAGGTCGGTTGCACCGCATGCCTTTCCTGCATATGGTACCAATGATAGCATAAGCAACTTATCATCGTTCTAGGAATATATTAAGCAAGATCTAAATACAGCATGGTATTAAACCAGATACATCAAGTGTGGAAAGGAAATAACAGAGAGTGATAGTCATGCATCATAAGGAAACCCAACCAAATACATCAAACACCCTCACCATATGTACTGTGTAAGTACAGAATCCAAAGTGCAAAACAGATCCTGTAGAAACACACAATTCGAAAAGGCTTCCTTAAGCTCATATAAAGAAAAAAACACACGCATGTCATTTATCGAATGATTCAGCAGAATTGAGCACGCATTTCACAAAACTGAAGATCAAGATGGCCACAAAATTCTTATGAAACATTCATGATTCATGTGCGAAAAAATGTTTGTTTTTCATCATTCAAGTTAGCTATTAAAACCAACAAAATTCTCAAAACAGAAGCTTCAAATGTGAAATAATAGTTTCCCTATGGACAAATCATGCAATAGAATATTCCTGTGAGCTCTGATTCTTAATACATCAGAACAGTCAAATGTAAGCAACCAAAACTTGAATGAGCTCCAAAGCTTGACGTTAAATAACTGCAGCAAAACAGTGAAATCAAATGAGAATAATAAGTGCAGATACCCAACCTCTATGAAGCGGAAGATTGCAGTAATATCTGAACCATTCGGCTCATTCAATTCCGAAAGAGCTTCCATGATCATGGCACCATACCTAGCAAACAAATTTGATGTTGTCACCAGATTCCAAAGATTAATGAGGACAATAACTTTAAAATAAATGGAATAAATTCCATGCTAAATCCATCAACTCTCACACCATATGGTCGGTTTGAAGGTTTGAATCTTGAGAATCTTATTAAGGCATTTCTACACATCAGCTGGCTTATCTACAAATATTCCTGCTAAACCATGTCCACTCTTCAGTTTGCATTTCTGAAGCAGCAAGTGCTTGCTTCAACCCAGATGTTCTTCAATCCAATGGAAGTTGAAGTGATATATCATTCAAAAACTTATATGGTTATATATCCTCTTAAAGACCAGACCAAGAATAAAGGAGGCAACTATCTGGAATCAGATGAATAGAGACATCCTTCATTTACTCAAAAGTATAAGCATAGTGTGGGTGTGTGGCCGTGCAATCACCCTTGAATCAATGTATTTTTAATCGGAATTTTTGTCTATGTTACGAACAACTATGCATTTAAAATTAGAATTGCTGATTAACTAGACTTCGGTATGAAAATAAAGAGAGACCAACTTTGGTGGAGTTTTCCCATCCTGTGGCTTTTTCTCAGCATCTGCAGGCAGTGTAGCTTCAGTAACTTTATTTGGCGCTGGGAGAAGCAGAGCCTGTGAGCTAGACGATGGGGAAGATGCGGGTCCAGTTATCCTTGGAACCCGTACTTTACTTGATCCCAGTCCACTTGCACTGAAACTTAAATTCCTCCATTTGTCCTGAAAATACCAAATAGAATATCACATATAGAAGACCAAAATGGAAAACCTATAACCATGGTGCAAGCTTCACCGGCACAACTGAATTGACACACCTTTCAGATGTTCATCATATGATAGAGCTACTACAACAAACTGTCTTACTTTTCACACATTTTACATTGGATTGTTTGCATGGAGAACAATTACAATGTTTATCCATTCCAAGTGAAACCACAAGAGGCATGCCATATTTCTTTAACATAGCATGCTACATTTAGTATCAAAACAATGGGATATATTCACAACCAGTGGCCAGTGGGATAGTTATTAATCACTTGAGCAAAACATGCAATGCCTTTGCTCCAGTTATGGACTCAGGGAAAGGCAAAAACAAAGGGTGAGAAAAGTTATATTTCCAAATCCAACCTAGTGTAAAGATGTTGCTACAAGAAAATAAATGCTGGATTTGATGTGTCTCTCTATGTGATCAGGCTGATGAGACAATTCAGCACATCCTCGTCTCCTGTGTGTTCTCCAGACAGGTTTGGACAATGATCCTCCAACGGCTGGGGCAGCTTCCTATTACTGCTAACCTTCTGTCTCTCATTTCTCCAGTTGGTGGTACAATGCTATAAAAGGAGTTCCCAAGGATTTGAGAAAGGGTTTGAAACTTTCAATTCTTTGATCATTTTGGTTGCCTGGGAAATTTGGAAACAAAGAAATTCTTGTGTGTTTGAAGAGGCCAGACCAAATGTTCAGGTAGTACAGCAAACGGTGGCAGATGAGTGTGGCCTTTGGTGCTCGGTTGGAGCCTTGGCTCTTAGCGAGCTCCTCACTAGGTTGTTCATCCCAGTATCCCTGACCTGAGTAGGTGATTATGTTGTTATCGTGTTTGTTAAGAAATAAATGGCGTGAATGTAGTGTGGGTTAGGGAGAGGTCTCTGATCTCTCCTTGTACCTTTTTGTTCTTCTTATAAATGACATGAAATGCAGCTCTGCTCCATCGTTCAAGGAAAAAAGAAAAGAAAAATTTGTAGCGCCACTAATAATGATGTTTCAGGGAGAATAACAAGACCAGCAATATATGGCATTCTTCAGCCCAAGAATGCTACCAGTTCTGGATCTGGAGAATAACTATAACTCAGCAACCAGAATGCCACAAGGGCAGAGTTACCTTAGACCATGTAATCTGCACATGGTAAAATTGACACGGCGATCGATGAACAACATTTTTAACCAAGGAACATGAAAGATAGACAGCTACCATTGAATGTAGCACTCAAATTTATTCTCTACTGCAGTTTGACTTATCCCATGTACATTGCCACCATACAAACATATGATTCAGTGAAAAGAATTGAACCGTTCTGGCGAAACTACCTAGAAAATAGCTTCGGAGGAACTATAACTCTGTATTAACAGCATACTAATTTTCAGACACAAAAAACAATACATTTCTCCATCTTAAGAGAGAGATGAAGTTTTAGATAAATTCTAGTTGCAAAAATTGATGATGTTTCAGGCATCCAGGTGAAACTTCATGTAGAAGGCTAACAGGAAGGCTATTGTTACTAGATTTCTTCTTGGGAAGACGAGGCAATGGGAGCAAGAGCCAAGAGATGTGAATTCTATCCTGAAGAAATCAAGAGAAGGATACCATTCATACGTTTTGCAGCTGCACAGTCACTAAACACATGTGGAGTGCACTGATTCTGTTCCTCAAACATGTGTACACCTAAGGAACATGGGGCAGGTAGCTCTTCCATTTATTCCAGGAGACAAATAAATTCATATAGGTTGTCTCACAACAGTTTCATGGTTTATATGGACACATGTAATAAACTAACAATTCACATCTTGAAGGCAAGGTGTTGCAACACTTATTTGATGTTTTTGCTAAAATGGATGTACTCTTGCACTACTCGGCAATACCGCACGAGGACAGGAGGGTCAAGGTGAAGAGATGTGTGATAGTAATTGGTCAATTGCCAATACCTATACAAGCAGGACACACACAAGCAATTGGTCAGGATAGATTGATGTGTTTCTTATGTTTCTTAATATATGTTGCAACACCATTGGTTTAATGGAGGTAGAGGATAATGTGAAGGCCATTCACTCCCTCTGATTCCAAACTTAGATTGTTTAGGATTGCGATACTGTCTCCGATATGACATTTTGACTTGCACTTTTTTTTTGTAAAAGTATACTACTTTAAAATTTAAATAGAAACGGATAAATATTATCAAAGTACTTTTCCATGTTGAATCTAGTAACATCAACCATGTGTTATGAATCTGTCATGTGGGGACGCACCTACACTCGACGTAGGAGGGCCCGCGACATCCGCCGCGCAGCAGAACGCGCTGAGCGCGCGGCAGGAGCGGCCAGGGAGGCGCACGGCGCTCCAACCACCAGTGGCTAGGAAGGAAAGATAGGATAGTTTCCCTCTTTTCAGTTCCACAATTTTAGGAATAATTAGCTCTAGTTGGTTTGGGCCTTAGGCCATATATTCTTGTAATCGGGCACTAATGAAGGAAGAAGAAGTTATTCCCTAATTCCTCTCTCTCTTCTCCAACCAACTAAGCCGACGGCTGAGGGGCAAAACCTCGCCGGCGACGACGGAACGAGGCTACGAACTCCGTAGCCGCGGTCCAGCTACCTTGGGCGCCGACGCCCTTGACAACCTGGTATCACGGTCACGTCGATCCTCTTTGACAACAGCCGCCGCGTCATCAGCCACACCACCAGCCGTCGCCAACCCTAACCCACCACCAGCCGCTGCTGCCATCGCCCCATCTTCACCCACATCGTCAATTGCATCTTGCGCCGGCACCATGGGGGATGATCTCAAGGCCTCACTCGAGGCGCTCGCCACGTCCGTCGCCCTGATGCAGAAGTCGATCGAGGCTAACGCCAAGGCGATCGCCGACCTCTCCATCGCAGGTTCGTCCACGTCCGGTGCACATCCAGGGTCCGGGGGCGCACACCATCAAGATCGGCCGCCCAAGCACTGGAGGCCCGAGTTTCCGCACTACGATGGCAAGAGCGACCCGTTGATCTTCCTCAACCGGTGCGAGTCCTTCCTGCAGCAGCGGATCGTGCCGGAAGAATGGGTCTGGATGGCGTCCTACAACCTTCAAGAGGGGGCGCAGCTCTGGTACATGCAGCTCCAAACCGACGAGGGCACCCCGTCGTGGCCGCGCTTCAAGGAAATCCTGAACCTGCGTTTCGGGCCACCCCTCCGCTCGGCCCCTCTGTTCGAGCTGGCGTCTTGCCGCCGGACGACCACGGTGGAAGAATATCAAGACCGTTTCTAGGCCCTCCTCCCACGCGCGGGTCACCTCGATGAAACCCAGCGCGTCCAGTTGTTCACGGGCGGCCTCCTTCCGCCGCTCAGTCTTGCCGTGCAGGTGCAGAACCCTCAATCCCTGGTGGCCGCCATGAGCCTTGCACGGCAGATGGAGTTGATGGACCAATACACCGCCGCGCCGCCGAAGCCCACGCCTCGGGGGATCTTGCCTGGGCCGCAACCCCGCGCGCCCCAGGTGAGTGCCTCGGCCGCCAAGGCTGCCGCTCCGACGGTCGCCGTGGAGGGCCGTCCGGTCCGTCGCCTGAACCAGGCCGAGATGGAGGAGCGCCGCCGTCTTGGGTTGTGCTACAATTGTGACGAGAAGTACGGCCGCGGGCACAACAAAGTCTGCAAGCGCCTCTTCCTCCTGGACAGCAAAGTGGAGGACGACGACGACGACACCGCCGCCGGGGACGACGACGTGCCAGAGACCGAGTCTCCGGTCTTCTCGCTGCACGCGGTCGCGGGGGTGGCCAGGGGCAACACCATGCAAGTCCAGGTCACTCTGGGCGGGACCACCCTCGTCGCCCTGTTGGACACGGGGTCCACGCACAGCTTCATCGCCGAGGCCGCCGCGGAGCGCACCGGTCTCCCCATCCAGCCACGTCCGCGGCTCACGGCCACCGTGGCGAATGGTGAGAAGGTCCCCTGCCCTGGCGTCATCCGACATGCCTCGCTCGTCGTCAACAACATTGATTTCTGCGTCGACCTTTTTGTCATGCCTCTTGCAGGATATGATGTGGTGCTTGGCACTCAGTGGATGGCCACGCTCGGTCGCCTCGTGTGGGACTTCGTCGCCGGCACGGTCTCGTTCCAGCACCATGACCGCACGGTCTGCTGGTCCGGTGTGCCCTCGCTGGGCGCCCTGGAGGCCTGCGCTGCGACGTCCAGCGCGCCGCTCCTCGACGAGCTGCTTGCCGAGTTCGAGGACGTCTTCGTCGAACCACAGGGTCTGCCCCCCAAGCGCGCCCGCGATCACCCCATCGTCCTCAAGCCAGGAGCGCAACCGGTCGCGGTCCGACCCTACCGGTACCCGGCGGCACACAAGGACGAGCTAGAACGCCAGTGCACCGCTATGATCGAGCAGGGCATCGTCGTCGCCGCAGCTGACTTCGGCTTTCTCCTCGCCGGTCATCCTCGTCCAAGAAGGCGGACGGCGCGGGCGCGCTTAAATCGACTACCGTCGCGTGAACGCGCTCACCGTCAAGGATGCGTTTCCGATCCCCGTCGTCGACGAGCTGCTCGACGAGCTCCACGGCGCCCGCTTCTTCACCAAGCTCGACTTGAGGTCGGGTACCACCAGTCCGCATGCGGCCCTCCGACATCCACAAGACGGCGTTCGCGACTCACGACGGCCTCTCTACGAGTTCCTGGTGATGCCGTTCGGCTGTCTAACGCCCGGCAACCTTCCGAGCACTCATGAACGACGTCCTCCGGCCGTTCTCGTCCGCTTCGTCCCGGTATTTTTGATGACATTCTTATCTCTGACCAGCGCGTAGGCGAGATCATCTCCGACACCTCTGCGCCGTGCTCTCAGAGCTTCGTCGCCACCAGCTCTTCATCAAGCGCAGCAAGTGTGCCTTTGGCGAGGCCACTGTCTCCTACCTCGGGCACATCATCTCCGAGATGGGGGTCGCCATGGATCCAGCCAAGGTGCAGGCCATCCTCGACTGGCCGGTGCCACGCTCGGCTCGGGCGGTACGCGGCTTCCTCGGCTTGGCGGGGTACTACCGCAAATTCGTCCACAACTACGGCACCGTCGCCGCCCCGCTGACAACCCTCCTCAAGAAAGAAGGGTTCTCCTGGAACGACGCCGCGGCGGCTGCGTTCACCGCACTCAAGGCCGCGGTCACCTCGGCGCCCATCCTCTCCATGCCGGACTTCACCAAACCGTTCACCGTCGAGTGTGATGCTTCCTCCCACGGCTTTGGGGCAGTCCTCATCCAGGAGGGGCACCCGATTGCCTTCTTCAGCAGGCCGGTCGCGCCACGCCATCGCGCCCTCGCCGCCTACGAGCGGGAGCTCATCGGCCTCGTCCACGCCAGCGCGGCCGCTGGAGGCCGTGCACTGGGAAGCGCGCTTTCTCGTGAAGACGGATCATTATAGCCTCAAATATCTGTTGGATCAGCGGCTTGCGACGATTCCCCAACACCATTGGGTAGGGAAACTACTCGGATTCGACTTCTCGGTGGAGTATAAACCGGGTGCGGCCAACGCCGTGGCGGACGCCTTGTCCCGCCGCGACACGGAGGACCGGGCCATCCTCGCCCTATCGGCTCCTCGGTTCGACTTCGTCACGCGCCTTCGTCACGCCCAGGACGCTGACTCCAGCCTCGTCGCGCTCCGCGAGGAGATCGCTGGGGGAACCCGAGGCGCGCCATGGTCCTTGGCCGATGGCATGGTGCAGTTCAACGGCCGGCTCTACATCCCACCGGCGTCGCCCCTCATCCAGGAGATCATGCTGGCCGTGCACGAGGATGGGCATGAGGGCGTCCAGCGCACGATGCATCGGCTGCGTCGTGACTTCCATTTTCCTAACATGAAGCAGTTGGTGCAGGAGCTGGTTCGTGTGTGCCTCGTGTGCCAAAGGTACAAGTCCGAGCACCTGCATCCTATCGGCCGCCGCTTGCTCCTCTACTGTGCCGCGCAGGTGCAGGTCCGACATTCTTGCGCTGGATTTCGTCGAGGCGCTGCCCCGTGTCCGCGGCAAGTCAGTCATCCTCACGGTGGTGGACCGGTTCAGCAAGTACTGCCACTTCATCCCGTTGGCGCACCCATACTCCGCTGAGTCCGTCGCCCAGGCCTTCTTCACCGACATCGTACGGCTCCACGGGGTACCACAGTCGATGGTGTCGGACCGCGACCCCGTCTTCACTTCGACGTTCTGGCGCGAGCTCATGCGCTTGTTGGGCACCAAGCTCCACATGACCACCGCCTTCCATCCACAGTCGGACGGCCAATCGGAAGCGGCTAACCGGGTCATCATGTACTTGAGGTGTCTTACAGGTGACCGGCCGCGTCAGTGGTTGCGCTGGCTTCCATGGGCGGAATTCATCTTCAACACCGCCAACCAGTCGTCCCTGCGCGACACACCGTTCCGTGTCGTCTATGGTCGGGACCGCGCCGTCCGATCGATCTCGGTGCGACGAGCCAGCGAGTCGAGGGTGCTCATTGTCGCCCATGAGATGGAGGAACACGCGGAGTTCCTCGACGACATCAGGTACCGGCTGGAACAGGCGCAGGCTCTTCAGAAACGCCACTACGACGGCCGCCATCGGCGGCCACGCACTGTGGGCGATCGGGCCCTTCTCCGGCTTCAAAGACGCCAGCAGCGGCGGCGTCTCTTCCTCAGGCTTCTACGGGAAAGCTCCGACCTCGATACTACGGCCCCTACCGCGTCATCGAGTTGATCAACGAGGTCGCGGTTCGCCTCGCTCTTCCTCCCGGCGCCTGTCTTCACGACGTGTTCCATGTGGGCGTCCTCAAGAAGTTCGAAGGGCCTCCGCCGGACGCTCCACCGCCCTTGCCGCCCGTGCACCATGGCGCGGTTGCTCCTGAGCCGGAACGTGCGGTGCGCTATCGGCTCGCCCGTGGCGCCCCTCAGGTGTTGATCCAGTGGAAAGGAGAGTCGGCCAAGGTCCTCAACTTGGGAAGACGCGTCGAGACGTTCACGCCAAGCATCCGCGCTTTCACTTCGAGGACGAGCCGAGTCTCGACGAGGAGGAGATGTCATGTGGGACGCACCTACACACTCGGCGTGGGAGGGCCCACGACATCCGCCAAGCGCATGACGAATGCCTTGAAAGGCCAGCCAGGCGAGCTGACGAGGGGGCGCCACGGCGCTCAACCACCAAAGTGGCTAGGAAGGAAAGATAGGATAGTTTCCCTCTTTTCAGTTCCACAATTTTAGGAATAATTAGCTCTAGTTGGTTTGGGCCTTAGGCCATATATTCTTGTAATCGGGCACTAATGAAGGAAGAAGAAGTTATTCCCTAATGCCTCTCTCTTCTCCAACCAACTAAGCCGACGGCTGAGGGGCAAAACCTCGCCGGCGACGACGGAACGAGGCTACGAACTCCGTAGCCGCGGTCCAGCTACCTTGGGCGCCGACGCCCTTGACAGAATCTATGCCAATTTTCATATATTGATAGGCCAAGTCAAAGAAGTTTGGAATCAGAGGGGGTAGTAGAGAAAGAATGTATCTGCAGATTTCAATTAAAATATCATGGACCTTAATTGCTAAGGTTGAAAACTCTAAGCAACTACCTAAGGGCAATATCTTCCCAACCACGAATCCCTGTACAATGTGGTACCATTACCAGGATATCCATCAAACTTATCACTGAATCCTATCCCAACAGCAATAACTGCTGAGCATGCTGAGTCACTGACTAGAATGCATCTCCGCTGACATGCTTGCATTTGTCATCAAACAAAAAGAATGTGATCTAAGAAATCACCTACTCATGAATCATCATCACATGATCAGGAACTCAAACCAATCAAAACAATGTTAAGAAACAAGAGAATGAATCCCATCCGTTAAAGTAAATTCATAATAAGCAATGGCACGAGGGCAACATCCATGG